GGGGGGGGGGGGGGAGAGAGAGAGAGAGATGCTTGCCCTGCCTACCTCCCAGGGACGTGGTAAGGATCAGAAGAGGTAATGAAATGATGAGTCTTGGGACGGTGAAGTGCTTCACGGATGTGAGGCACCGTCACCATCATGACCGTCATCGTGACCATCATCACCATTACCAGCACCAGCACCAGTTCCATCACATCATCGTAACTACCACCTTTGGTTTGGCCTTCTGGTGCTCACCTGTCTAGAAAGAGCCTCTTTGAAGAGAAAGCACAACTTGGCAGGCAAGGACTGGTTTAAGCAGATAGAGGTGCCCCCTCCTCAAGGAACCAAAGGGCACCTCTTTGTGCAGTCTCTGAACTGTCTGGAGGCAGCTGGGAGGGTGGAAATAACCTGACCAAGGCCACACAGCAAGTCCTGCAGAGACAGTCTCTGTCCCATCGGTAAGGGAGTCAGGGCTGTGTCACGCTTTTACATTTTAACACCGACCTGGGAGGCGGTTGGTTGGGTCCCAGAGCACAGGGTGGGCCCTTGGGTCCTCTGGGACTTCCCACATCTGTTAGTTCAGTGAATATACCTAAGGATGGGGGCACCCATTGTCCCTTCACTTCTAAGAGGTAATGTTTCTTTCTTGACAACTGGAATTATTGGAAAATACGTTGAAGCAAAAATATTTTTTAAAAAATAGTCTGTCAATTTTTTGACAATTTTTCCAAAAGATGCGCTTTTTCTCCCCACTTCCTGCCCTCCTGCTCTCACTTCTTTCCTACAGCAGTGTCCTGGCCCCTTTGGATCAGATCTCCTGGGAAGGTGAGATAGGTTTTGCATCACAGATCAGGGCCTTGGAGAGTAAGACACATGTGAGGAACTCCTGGGGAATTTAAAATGCTTTATATTTATATTTTTTCCTTGAAAAACATTACACTGCTATTATTAAAGGAAATACCAAAATTTCACCAAATGGGAATAATCACCTTTAATATTTTGACTAACATCCTTCTGGTTATCCCTATTTGTTTTTAAATGCACATGATTTTACACAAGGAGAACCATTACAACACTGTGTCCTAAACTAATATTCGTTATGAGTGGTATGTCCTCTACATTTTTCCACAACCACAGATGCCCTTCATCACTTGTAACAGCTGTATTATATTCTACTGTATCATACTTTAATTAAACAATTTTATTGTTTGTGAATTGTCAATATTATAATCAGTGCTTCAATAAAATCATCATGAATACCTATGTTATCTCATTAGGAAAAATTCCAAGAAGTGGTATTATTGATCAAAAGACATATTTATATTTAATAATACTTAAAAAAACCTAAGTAACACAGTATGAAATTCAAAGTTAGACAAAAATAAGAACCCAAAACCCTTATATAGTGAATATAAACCCATCTCTGCCTTCTCTGTCTCCCAGTTCTTTTCCCAGGCAGTCACTACTGCCAGGTGTGTATGTGTGTGTGTATTTTCAAAGAAAGCATATGCCAAAAAGTATTTGTATGTTTATATAAATATACTTTAGGATTTTGCAATACATTACAACATTGCCATCTACAAAGGTGCCAATTCAATTTTCCCCCAAAGGACACGAGAGAGGGCATTTCTTGACACCTTTATCAACACTGGGTATTGTCATTTACAATCTCTTTACCCCCATGGCTATTATCTGATCTGATTATTAGGTAATAGTCTGATTGATAATAAAGTCCTAAGAAAAATTTCCACGTGTCCAAGTCTACAGCAGTAAAAGTAGGGACATGGGGCTAGGACGTAACCTTTTGTTACCTGGATGGGTTTGTTGTTGGGAGGGAGGGAGGCAGGGAGAGAGAGAGGAAGAGACAGAGAGAAAATGAAGAATAGCAGATGTAGGAGAGGAGAGCAGCCAGCCTATGACACAAAATTGTTCCCAGGATAAAGAAGCTCATGCTGGGGATGGCTACCCTAGCTGGGGTTTTTGCAAAAACTGGGCAACAGGTGTAATGCCCAGAGCCACACAGATCAACCTTCTCAGGTTCTGAAGGTTCTGTCTTTCATCCACACGTGTCCTGCTCAATGGGGTAAGTGTGTAAAGAAGAAAGGAGTAGGAAGACGTGGCCCGGAGCTGTACAGGCCTCTGCGCTTGACCGCGGATCTCGAAGGGCAGCGCAGCCACTTACGACAGTCTGTTGGTTTCCTCAGCAGGATGGACACTCTCTGAACTGGTGCTGCTGCTACTCTCGGAGGCTGACTTAGATCCCTCATCCAGGGAGCTGGACTCACTGTCGACGCTTCTGCCAAGCAATGACGTCGTGGACATGGTGGGTGTGTGGCGGTGGCTCAGGGTTAATCCTGGAACAGCCTCAAACCAGCCTTCCATGGGGTTTTCTCCAGAGGAACCAGGGCTGCAGGCCTGTGGTGCTAGGTCCTAATTCTTGAGGGTGCCTGGCCCTGGTTGGAGCCCGAGCTTTGAATCAGTGAAGCGCTGGTGGCAGGGGAAGCTGATGTTGATGATGCCTCACCTGGCTTTTGGGGGACTTATGAGAGTCTCATCTCAGGATGACCCTCAGTGTCCCTTGCGTTTGATTGGTCACATGCCAGGAGTTGCCTGGATTTTCAGCCCGTCCCAGTTTAGCCCTAAAGTGAACAGTGTGACTGGGAGGAAGAAGGCACCATGGGACAGGAGGTCCTGGGGCCTGGGCGTGGGGCCAGGCTCAGTGCTCTGCTATCCCTGGCAATGGGGAAACCAGAACTACCTCACAATGGAGGCTGCCCGGCTAATAAGGTGCTGCAGAATCCCAGGATGCAGGTGTGGCCCAACAGAGGGTAATCCAGCTGCCACCTGCCCTGGGTGGGGGTGAGGCGTGGTTTTTAAGGCCCAGTTCAAATGCCACCTGCTCAGAATTTCTGTACAGGAGGAGCGTATGGACTGCCACCTATTTGAAAGGGAGTGTAAGTAAACTTAAAAAGAATTATTTATTACAAAAATATTGATTGAGCATTTAATATAGAAGTGGGCAAAAGTAGGTTTACAATTGTATGTGAAACACAGCTTATTCTTGTATTATTTATTAATTAATAATTGTATTATTTATTATTATTTACCTATTTTTGCCCATCCCTGTATACTAGGCACTGTTCTCTAAACTGGGAAAATATTATGGTAGAAAACCTACTATAATCTCTGCCCTCCTGGAACTTATGAGCTAGTAAGGAGACTGATAATAAACAAAAAAATGGCAAATATGTGTTAAGTACTGGAAAGAAAAATAAAGCGGGAAAGGGGAATGGGAAGTGCCGTCTGGGGGGAAGGTTGCAGTTTTGGGCTGTGTGGTCAGAGCGGCTCTCTGAGGAAGTGACATTTGGGTAAAAGGCTAAATGGGTGAGGGGGCATGTCCTGTGTGTGTTTTGGGTAAGAAACTTAAAGCAGAGGGAGGGGTAAGAGCAAAGGTCCTGAGGCAGGAGAGTGCCCGGGGTAGTTCAGGAATGATAAGGCCACGTAGCTGGCTCAGTGTGCACAAAGGACGGGGTGGGGGATGAGTGGAGGGGGCCTGGGTCTGGTTTTCCCAGGGCTGTGCTGGTCTGTGCTTGTGGCCCTGGCACAATGAATATTAACATTGCCTCTTTTCACTATCAAAAGTATCCTGGCTTGAATGATAAATTACAGGATCACACCAGGGATGCAGTTAATGTAAGTGGAATTAACAAACAAAAAATGGAGTGGGGTGGGCAGGAACTTGTAGGCCACTGGAATGCCTTTGGTTTTTACTGAGGGTTTTGAGCAGAGAAGTGACATGACTTGGATTTTAGTGGGATCTCTCTGGCCATTTTGTTGGCAGCAGATTGAATGGGGGTGAAAGCAAAAGCAGGGACATAATTAGGAGGTTCCTGCAATGACCCAGGTCAACAGTGGTTTAGTCCAGCGTGGTAGCTAAAGAGATGGTGAGAAGTGACTGAAGTCTGGCTATCTTTAAAGCTAACGCCAAGAGGATGTGCTGATGGACGCGACGTGGGGTATAAAGGAAAGAGAGGTTAAAAGACGACTCCACTGTTTCTGACGTTAAGAGGAAGGACGGGGTTGGCACGAACAAAGAGCCTAGTCTTGAAAATGCCTTTGCAGAGCAAACCCAGGCACACTGTACTGTGTATGTTTGTTTGGGATGGTTTGGACAGGTTACTTATGGAGATTATGGGGGGCCGAAGTGCTCCCCATGTCAACCCTTAGTAATGCTCCGAAACCAACCGTATGAGCCTCTTCCTTCCTCTGAATATCAAATGAGATCTCTCCCTCCTCTGATTCCCTAAAACCATTTTCTTGAGTTGAAAATAGTTTCTCTTCCCCAATGCACTGACTCATTGCTTTAATGCTTACTAGGGAATGCCTGCTCTGTGAAGGCAGGTGCTGTTTAGCAATGTGATAAGTAAAACTGACTCATTGTTGCTTTAATTTCTACTTCTTTAGTTACTATCCAGGGTGAATCTAGTCGGGCATTTTATCGTGATAAAGTTAAAATGATAGATTGAATTGGATAAAATGACCATATTTACAACATTAGTTTTCTCATCTAAAGTAAACATTATAACTGTTTATGCAAGTCTGACTTATGCCTCTCAGAAGACTTTGATTTTCTTCGGATATAGCACATTTTAAAATTTTGTTCCTAGGTGCTTTTGTTTATTGCTGTGTATAAACAGGATCTCTACCTCCCTCCCCAATTTTATTTTCTAATAATTAGTGTGTAGAAAAGACAATGATTTTGCAAATGTTATTGTTACTGCCCACTTCACCAATTCCTTTTGTGTCTAACAGCATGCAGTTGATTCTCCTGAACTTTCTAGATAATCATACTGCAAATATTTCTTCTTTCTTTCCAAAATTTATACCTTTTTTTGTGTGTGTGTTGAGGAAAGAGTAAAGAAATAAAATGGGAGTCATTATAGTCAAGTTGTTAAATTACTAAAATCAAGTAGGACGAGACATGAGGAAACAATTCTATTCTTGCTTTAATGAGCCTGGCAACTTAAATTTTTGACCTTTTCAACCCTGCATCAATGCCTGGGTACACGTCAAACCTCCAGATAACCTTCTGATTATCTCCTGAAGGACTCACTATCCAGATCACCTGACATCCATTATCCAAATCACAGGTCCTGACCAGACTTCCTGGAGCCCATCTTCCAGACCCTCTGGCACCCATAATCCAGACGGCCTGGTATCTGACTGATAACCGTCCTGGACCATCCTAGGGCTAGGAATGCAGAACCGATTATTATCAACTCTTGTCTTTCATTTTTAGAACACTGCTGGGGTTTTGCCTAGTTGTGTGTCTGTTTGCAAACCCTAGGACCCTTGAATAAATCTTTATCATTTATTTCTAGCAAAGCCTCCAGACTTTTTTTGAGGTTTTTTTTTTTTTTTTGGCAGTGTTAATAACAGTGACATCAAACATCCGTTTCTAATTTCATACTTTGCTGAAAGGTCTTTTATTGTTTTCTGTTAACTATGATGCTACGTCTGAGATCACCTTCCTCCTGCTCCTCAGATCATTTCAGTTTCTTGTATTTTTAGAACACTAAGAGCTTTCTCTTAAAGTTAGGACTGGATCATGAAATTAATGATATTTTTTCCCCAGAACCTATCAATGACCACTTTTTTCTTCCCTGATGTCAAATGTTCTCTATGGTAATGGATTTTTTAATGTCGAATCATTTTTGCATTCAGAGGGAAAGCTCCATGGTGTTTTTTGTTTTGGAATATAGAATTTGATTTTTTTTAAAGAAGAAAATACAATCCTCATTAACAACCCCTCTCCGTTATTGTGCTTTGCTTTATTGCGCTTCACAGGTGTTTCATTTTTGTTACAAACTGAAGGCAAGACCTTCCCCTTCAAACAGATTACAACCTGCTTTACTGCAATACTTGCTTTATTACCCTGGTCTGGGACCAAACCGTAGTACGTCTGAGATATGCCTGCAGTCCCCGGACTTGGAAATCTACCATCGGTAAGAGCATAAATTCCCTCCTAGCTCGCTGGGAACAGGCCCCGAAGCGGAGACTAGGTGAAACCCGGGGAGGCCCGCTGCGAAAAATCAGGAGCAGCTCTCTTCCAACGCCCCCCAATCCCGAGGCGCTTTAAGGAACTCTACCCCTCACTCCCCACACCTCCGTGCGCCCCTCCCGTTACCTTCTCCCGCAGCCTCGGAGCGCA